TTGATGATAACATTTGATAAACTGAACCATCTACTACAACAACAACAACTAAGTATAACACATAACTAACACTATTTATTATTAATAAACAAAACATTGAATAATCAGGACACACAAAAAAAAAATATATATATATATATATATATATATATATAATTTTAATTTTAATATATAAATAATTTTTTTTAAAACGAACCAGTTAATTCAGAAGTTGAATGACGCGCCAGACCTAATTTTACTGTCCTTACAAATATTTTATATTTTAAACTTTAATTTATAACAAATTGATTATTAAAAAATATATTAATAAGTTTATATATTTATATAAATTACACTTAATATCTGCGAACGATACACGAATCTACAGTGAAATATAAATTATAATAATTTATAAGGAAGAATGATGGGGTCCCTTGCGGCAAAGACAGGGAATCCATGGAATGGATGTATGTGAGGGATGTCGTTATCTAAATGGACATAATATATATGCATTTTTATATAATACCTCTGAATTTCATTCCTTTCCTTGTTCCAACACAAATCAAATTATAGATCTTTGATAATTCATTTAAACCCTTTATTAGATTTTTATCATCATGTATATGCTATAAAAGTTACATATTTTTTTTTATTTGCATAGATTTTCGATATCATGGTTCTCTTGACCTGAATATATATTCGTATGAGTTGGTTACCTAATCAAATCATAAATTTCAATACAGACGTTAAGACTTAATTCTATAAAATTAATTTGTGCAATGAAAAAATGTTTTTATTTCTGAATTATAATTTGTGATATCTCTAATAATTAAAATATTTTTCCCAGGATGCATGTTTATTTAAAATGAATAAAATTATTGAGTGTGACTCTCTGGTATATATATATTTTGTAAGATTGAAATTATGAATTATCACATGGGGTTTGAATGTCTGTGAACGTGGGGTAGTGAGTGACATTGATCATAGGATACCGAAATGAGAGGATGAGGAAACAAATAATATAGATTGGAAGGGAAATTCCGAATGCAAGATGCCAAAAGCAGTTGAGTTGTCTCATATTTTTATAACACTACACATTACGTTTTCCCCAAAATTATTATAAATTCAATTATTATGCTCATTTTTCCATCAATTTATAATCTCAAAAATCAAAACATGCAATCCTCACAATATTGTCAAAACCTTGGCCCCCACACCTTCTTCTACACTCTATTCTCTAATTAATCTATCTTATTCATTACTATTAATTCTTGGTTTGATTGCTCGTCTTCACCTAATCTCTTCCTCACCAATTCCACTAGCTACCCCATGCCTCAATTCTGATGATGCAATCTTAATCACTTCCTAGATGAGACCCTTTTTTTTACTGGGCTAGACTAATATTTTGACAGAACAAGAATTTCTCACTGCATAAATTAACCAGTCTTGGAAGTTGAAACTGGGAAAGCCTATTCTTAAATTGATTTAGTATGTTCTAGTTAATTACATGTGCACAGAAAGGAAAAAAAAAAAAAAAAAACTTGTGGATGGAGGAGAGAAAAGTTGAGTGCCCCATCAGTTTCTAAACCATTAACTACCATATTTAAATGGTGAGACCAAATGAGGTAATAGCTTAGAAATCTAATTAACTCTAGCTGTTGGATATGATGGCCCCAAAGGGATTTTGCCAATCTAAGCTCTATGTTTTGAACAGGCTACGCCTATATATGTGATGTTATTCTTCCAATATGCTCATGGATTCAAAAAGGAGAATCAGTAACGTAGGATGGTCCTCCTATTATGGAAGTGCATAATTAAATACGTAGGAGACGTAAAGGTTCACCTTCACCTTCACCTTCATCTTCACCTTTACCTTCACCCTCACCCTCTCCTCATCTAACCAACCCTTTGAAGTGAAAGTCAACTAGTCTATGCTTATATGGACCATCATCACGATGCGTGTACACAGTCCCTAAACAACCATTTGCACAAGAAAATGAACATGCTCTCTGATTCAGTCGGTGCCCTCTATATGGAATAGTAATCCTCATATTAACCTTAGTGGTTGTGGTTTAGTTAAGGTGGAAATAAAAAAGGCTAATATTGTTACTTGTGATGGCAAGATTTGTTCCCACACGAGACATGTAGGGTTGTTGGAAATAGACAGAAGGAGTTATGACGAGGAATCGGAATATATATAATTTTCAAAGCTCTCAGTAATCTTTAATCACGTGGACTACATATGGTATAGAGCAGAAGCATGGCCAATATTACATATATAACCTGCAGATTATTGGCTTCCTTAAATAGTTATTGTTCATCTAAAGTAGAAAAAAACAGTAATAACTAGAAGGATTGTGCAACTGTGTGTATGCATGTGCGTGTAATGCATTTTGGTACAACACATTTCTAGATGGTTTTCTCTCTTCTTCTTTTTTTGTTCCCAGCAGAGTTGAAGGTGTCATAATTGTTAGATGCAGTGTAATTAGAAATAGGGTATCTATTTATTTTGAATTGGACTTATTGTAAGAATTTTATCCAACAAAAGAAAGAGATTGTTAAATGATTGTCTTGGCTCAGTCATCATCAAGTAATTATCTCATTAACTATGGTAGTGTGACTGTAAGGTGAGGTGTCTCTATCACTCAAGTAGTCCTCAGATCTGTCCTTAAGTTTGCGTTTGGTTAGGAATATTACTTGAACAATTTTCTTTTTCTTTCCCCATATAATTTATATTCTTCAATCCATAATTATTAAATGTAGATTAGATCAGCTATTGTTCCACAAGTTGATTATTTAGCCAAAAATACCAATACATATTATATGGTTATAACTAATCTTTGGCACACCTTGTGATGGATTGGTTACAATTAATGGAGTCTTTTTAGCTCGCTTACTAACAAAAAAAAAAGGTTATATTTTCTTTAAATGTGAAGTGGCATGGTTCACCCTTTTTCTGTGCAGTACAGTAATTTCTGACTAGTGTTTTAATTCTTTGAGAAATTTGTTCATGATTAAAATGAAGTGAGAAAAATAATGTAATTATATTGTTAAGCTAGTTTTAGGTGCTAAATCATTATCCAATCCTAAACACGAATTCACTTGTTTTGAGGAGAATTCCATGTGGGGTCATTTTCTCTACAACACACAACAGTTGACGTTTGTTCACAGAAGAAAACATGATTTATTGTGAAAGAAACAAGTCTAACAGCTTTTGGAAACGGAGAAAAGAGGAAATAACAGAGTTCATCTCACCAAACTTGGGTGATCACATCACGGATACTGCTGCGAGCAACAAACTAGGCCAGCCAGCCCAGCAACCCTAAGCTTTATGAGGTAACATCGTCGTCGTGATGACCAAACAATACGATCACATTCCCAGACATGTTTCGTGGCATCCTAACGTAAATGTACGCGTATACACGTACATACGTACGTCAACTTCAACCTTCAACAAGTAACAACATCCATCTAGTGTAGTAGTCTAGTCTTAGCCATAAACCCTTCTCATGAAACATAATGCACAAGTTTTCATCACTCGCACTTTTTGGAATTGGACGGTGCATCAAGGGTCCCCCACGGTCCAATCTTTGGGTCCCACACCGTGAGTCTGACAGAGACAGAGGTATCACGGACGGTCCTATCACCTTGCATTGGGAAAAGAGAACCCTCCCCACAGGCCCACTATTTTTTGCATACTGGACCCCACATATGAACTTAATATCTTCATAAAAAATTAATAATACTCATTTCTATATTATATGAAAATTAATAATTTTTTCTTATCTATCTAATGGCACACTACATTCTCATCATCAGTGTCTGTGAACGTGAATGGATCTCTGACCTGAAATCTGATCTGATTTAATCTCTCGCATGCCAAAAGAGAGTGGTCTTCAGGGCTGTAATTATGGCTTAATCATTCCACACCTGATAAAGCATCTAATAAAGGTAAAACACTTTTTTCTGAGACCTCCTCTCGCTTGTTCTCAAGAACCGCAGCATTATTTTTTTAACCTTGATTTCCTATAACTACTGCAAGCACAACAACACAAGCAGTCAAACACACAACCCTCGCAACTATATCTATTAGTCTACTGCTACTAGTAGTGGTTGTAGTTGTTGTACTATTTACCTCTCGAGATGTTCATCAGAATATATAGTATTTTTTTATTCACTTCAACCAAAAGCTAATAGTACTTACTTGGAATGCCTTTACAAAAATTATTTCGGCTTTTAAAGCAAACAATTGGAGTTTGTGCTCAAATATATGTGTGCTAGAGCGCTACACAGACACATCCCTCCAACTTCTTCATATTCAAATTTCTGGTTTACTAGGCAAAAAGGCAAGGAAACCTCCCTCAAACACAAGACACACTATCCCACGATTGTGCGTGTGGTTTGTGTCTGTTTTTGTGTGTCTCTGTGTGTGACTGTGAAAGAGAGAGGCAGAGAGAGCGCTTGTGGTGGCCCATCTAAACATATGGCTCACCGTCTTTGAGGATACTAGTAAATAAGATGAGAAATAGACTACTCTCAAGACCAAAGACAGCAAGAGAGAGAGAGAGAAAGTGAGAGTGTGAGAGAGAGAGAGAGATAAAATAGAGGTGGAGTGTCATCTACAACCATCTTATGGTTTATATGGGCTTTTGGTTTTATCTTCAAAGAAACGAAATCAAACAAACGAGTAACCAGATCACCACCAGTTGGAAGCTCATGCTTTGCATTAGTATATAGTTTCTTTTTCAGGCTTTAAATGTTTTTGGTTTGATTCAAGTTTTCGTTTATGGATTTTTCTTGTCTTTTGGCAGAACGATATATATAAAGCCATCCTCTCTCTTTAAAGAATTTGGGTACCCTCCAAAAGAATTTATGTTCGTTTCTTGGCTTTAGCTACTCCAAAACCATTGTTTTCTTCCTTGTACTGTCTGAAAGCTTTGAAACTTCGCTGTTTGCTTCTGCTCACTGCTTAGCCACCCATTCCAATACAGCCTAAATTCCCACGTTTCCCTTTTTCTAATATGCAAATGATGCCCGGTGACCCTTTTTCCCTATCTACTTCAATCGGAGGCTTCTCTCAAGAGCAAAACACAAACCCTAACCCTAAACCTAATCCCCCTCCCAAGAAGAAGAGAAACCTTCCAGGAACACCAGGTCTTCGCCACCATCTTCATCTCCATCCTCATTCATTTATCAAAACACTTCAAATAATACCATGATAGACTTTTATGTTGTTAGCTCATTCTTTTCTACAAAAATTTTCATATTACAGATCCAGATGCCGAGGTCATTGCTCTATCGCCCAAGACCCTCATGGCAACGAACCGATTCATATGCGAAATATGTAACAAAGGGTTCCAGAGAGACCAAAACCTTCAGCTTCACCGAAGGGGTCACAACCTCCCATGGAAGCTACGACAAAGGTCCAATAAAGAGGTAAGGAAGAAGGTTTATATCTGCCCAGAACAATCCTGCGTCCACCACGACCCTGCAAGAGCACTCGGCGACCTCACTGGCATCAAAAAGCACTTCAGCAGAAAGCACGGCGAGAAGAAGTGGAAGTGTGAAAAGTGCTCCAAGAAATACGCAGTCCAGTCAGATTGGAAAGCCCACACCAAAACCTGTGGCACTAGAGAATACAAATGCGACTGTGGCACCCTCTTCTCCAGGTAATTTAATTAATATATATGTTTCTGTTGTTATTGTAAATGTGCCTAAATGAAATAAATGCGTGCTTATAATTGTATAGAACATTATTTATGTAACATGTCCTATGTTTTTTCATTGGCGCGTAGAGTTTCGAAATTAATGCTTCCTAAATTTATGTATATTTTGAAGGATGATAAGATGAGGTAATTAATGGGGTTCCATTGAATTTTGAACAGGAAGGACAGCTTCATTACCCATAGAGCATTTTGCGATGCCTTGGCTGAAGAGAGTGCGAGACTCACCTCAGTTACCTCAACAAATCTAAATTTCAAGAGTGAAGAGGGTGGAAATGGGATGAACTCGCAGCATGGTTTGGGAGGCCATGCACTACTTGCAGCACAAAGTCTTCAAAATGTTTCTGGCATTCCACAATTTAGTCCACATGGTTTTCGTTTGGATTTTAATGGAATGGAACAACCGAGGCCTAGCTTGTCACTGTGGTTGAACCAAGGGAATCCCCAGATGAATAATAATAGTAATGTTAGTAGCAACAATAATGGTCCCGATGTGGGACCCAATTACATGTCGTCATGCTCTTCTTCAGGTTTGCCTGATATTGTGCAAATGGCTCAGGCTAATGCTTTGATGGGTTCTTCATCGATGGTATCTAATTTTGGAGTGCCTGCGGGTTCTAATTCCACCAGTGCAAATCTTTCTCTGTCGTCACTTCCTATTGGGAAAAGAGGGGAAACAGGTGGAACTGTAGTGGACTTGGCTTCAATTTATAATTCTGAGGGTCAAAACAAGAATTCAAAGCCTGCTTCACCTATGTCAGCCACTGCGCTTCTTCAGAAAGCAGCACAAATGGGTTCCACCAGAAGCACCAACCCTTCCATTTTCAGTGGTAGTTTTGGAGTGATGAACTCACCTTCCTCACAAACTACCAGTCTCAATAATAACAACAACAACGGCGGTGCAGGCATGATGCTGGGAAGTAACACTGCTGCTGCAGCAACTGATTTTACCTCATTGACGCATTCATCAAACAGTTTTGAAGAACTTGTGATGCAAACCAATGCGCAGTTGCAAAGTGAGCCTGTGAAGTTGAAGCTTCGTTCAAGGGCCGTGGAGCACAATTTGACAAGGGATTTTCTTGGAGTCAGTGGAGGAGGAGGAGGTGGTGGACCTCAGTTCCTACCCCAAGAACTTGCAAAGTTTGCTTCCTTGGGCTCGCCAATGGGATTGAGCCAATTCACAAGTAACCAATGAACTCGTCTCGTTTCTGAGCTTGTAAGATAGCATCAAACTTGAAGGTTTGATGGGAAGTTGATTGAGCTTTTGGGGTACCACTGTGAGAGATTGATCGTGTTGTAGTTATGTGGGGACCCACTTCTTGAACGAAAAGAGAATATCTAACGCCACGAGACATGCATGTTCTCCCTATTGTTATTGTTGTTTTATCTTATATTGCTTAACCATATGTTATCGTTTTTGGCTTCTTTTCCTTGAGAGAAACGAAGGGAGGCTTAAAATAATGAAAGAAATTCTTAGTGAAACGCAGAAAACTACCAGTTACGTACCACTATTATTGTTGACCGTCAAAATAAGTTTCCTTAGCTACATGGATAACATATAGATAGTTAATTACACAACGGAAGAAAAAAAGGAAGAAAGATGATAAATATTAATATATACCATTTTGATTCCTTTGGATAACGTGAACTTGACAAGATTTTTATTTTTAGCTTTCACAACAACAATAATAATTGAGTGGAGTCTCATCTCATGACTCATGGGGAAGCTTTTGGTAGATATGAAGTGCAGCCAACACAGTACTTGTTACGTAGCGAGAATCTAGGTGGCAGAGTAGCTTTTTGGTAGACCCTGATAACTATGACAAAGTGAAGTGCAGGGTTAAACAGTGAAACTTGCTTTGGTGCTGCTTGGTTTGTGCAGTGCAAGTTGGATGGTATGGCTAATGGCTAAGTGCAAATAAGTAGTGTAGTGCGTGGTGGTGATTAGAATGAAAGATGAATGGTCAAAGTTGTTTGACTCCCAATGTAAATGGAATTTGGATTGACATTTCATTGCTTGACAGATCGTGGTTGCTGTACAGTGACTGTAAAGTTGGTCCTTGACTGCTTCCAATTTGGATCTGCGTCCGAAAACGATGCAATCTTGGTGTGTGTGTAAAACCAAGAATTCTCATGCTTTACTGAACCATTGTGTGCTGCGTAGTTTTGCACGCCCCGGCATGACTAACGGAGTAATAAATTTTCTTGTCTCTGTCCCAAATTCTGCTCAATCCAACCCACTCAAATGACCCAATTCTTAATTGCTTCAACTAATTTATTTACAGACAACATAGTTTACTTCATTTTAATTAATGATGTTCTAACTTTATATCTTGTTTTTGAAATATTTTAAAATTGAATAACTTAAGTAATAGTTATATTAATGATATTCTTTATAATTTAAGAGAATTAATAAACCTGATTTATATATTATTGATAGACTAATGAAGCTATTTATTTGCATGGGGTTTCACATTAATATATAACTTTTTAAATTCAAAAAAATAGAAATCAATACATTTACTATAATCTATAATTAAGAAGAGGAAAAAAATATATTAAACCAAATAGAATATAATGGCATGCATTTTATTTTGCTAATTATTTTCTTTTCTTTTTATTTGGATGCAAGAAATACTATTATTTCCTTCTAAATATTCAACTAATTAAATGATAACGTATTTTCTTTAAGAATAAAATAAAATAAAAAATGAAATAGAATTAGGGGAAATGTTAGAAAACGACTATTCCTAAGAATATAAGATTTCTCAACCCTTCACATGATAATGGAAAGAGAGTTTACAGTGTAAGAATATTTTGTTTATAACTTGTATGAATGTTAAATTTTCTGGGAATATTTATGAGTTTATAAACAAACGCTATTTGATTATAGTTATTTCACATCATATTCTTTTATCATAAAGAATAAGAATGTGAACATATTAATTTTTTATGTTTGTTACAAAATTATCAAAAATAAAATTTCAGTCGTTTATTTTCCAAAAACTTAAGAATTGTTTATTCATTATTTTTAAAAATAATTCAGTTTTTTATTTTTTAAAAACTAAAATATTTATTTAGTAACTTATTCATACAAATTGTTTCTAAAAACTTTTGAAAACTAAAAAACAAAATTTGATAAAATATTTGTTCTATTTTAGTTTTTTTTTTAATTAAAGATTACACTACACGACTCACTTTAATTGTGATGAAATCGTTGAAATCACTCTTTAACTTTTGTCACGATTCTTTCCGTGCTCAAACTTTAAGTGGTTTTTATTTCTAATGAAAGTGAGAGAAAATAATATTTTATGAAAATACAAAAAAATATTTACTATTACACTTATAATTAACTTTCCTTTCATTTTAAATATATTTGTAAATACATCACACTTATTCATATAATTATTATTTTTATATGCATTGACTCGATATAGAATAGTTCAAATCATACATCTAAATTACAAAACTTTGCTAATTTATTTTATAAATTTAACTATTTAAATATTAATCTAAACAAAAAATTTAACTATTTTGATTAACTACACTCCATTATTACCCCACACCCTTCTTTTCTTATGAAAAACTCACTTCCAATAAGTTTTTAAATTTAGCATTCTAAAAAAAATAGTTTTTAAACATGTTAAGTTTTAACATCTAGGAAATAACTTTTCAGGAAAATATATTCTTATATAAAAAAAGATATATTAATAAAAATTGAGAAATATAAATAATTGTCTAAAAAGTTACTTATAACAAATAAATTGTTGAACCATGAAGCCAGATTGAGCCAAGTTTGATGTGAGTAGTTTGACCATAGTTACAAGTTACAACAGAAAGAAAACCCAACTTCAATTTATTGGTATTTACATTCATTTATGAACCTCAAAAATTGCCAGTTAAAAACTTGAAAAACTGAAGTGGCACTTAAAGGTAGTGTACGTAGTGTGGCCCTATAGTTATCTGTTTTTTCTGGGTTTTGACTTAAGTTTCTGTAGCTTTAGAGCACGTTTTGCAAAAGTAACAGTAAAATGCTTTTTTGGTTTTTAAAACTTGAGCTTATTCTTTGAAAATATAACTAAAAAGATAAGATATTGGGATGTGAATGTTCCAAAATCTAGAATCAATCGCGGATGTTCTTAGAAACTTAGGTAGTAGTCTTCCAAAATTTTGTAATTCGTTTATAATTTTGTCTTCTCCAAACTTAATAAATATTTAATATATTTACTTGTTTATTTATAATTTTATCTTCTTAGATCTCTTCTTAGTTTTGTAACTCTTATATAATTTATTATTTTATCTCACTCAAATTTAATGATCATTTAATATATTTAAATATATATCTATAATTGTATCATTTCACCCTTTCATCTTCTTTTTTTCTTTTATATTTATTTATAATATATTATTTGGTCCCTTCAATATCAATATTCAAGATTGACTACTGTTACGAATCCCTAATGTTTTGTGTTCTGTTTAACAAATTATAATATTTTGATTATATATGTTATAATAATATTATTAGGATTAATTTTTAAATTCAAGATTGGTTGTAGATCTCTTATTTATTATAATTTTATTTTTAAAAAATATTTGGAGGAAATAAATGAGAAAAAAATATATAAATTAGATTTAATTTCGACAACAATATTAGTGGAGACTTTGATTTCTATTGTTATGATAAATCTTTTTATTGATCTTAATATTTATTGGTAGATTAAGAGAAAAATTGTAAAGTTTAGAGATTTAAAAAAAATGAAAATTGTCCAATGGGCAATTGATTGTGTTGATATATAGTGAGTGTAGGCCATAGGTAGCTAAAAAGAGAGTTGATGAGTTGCATAATGAGATTTGCACTTTTTATTGGTATTTGTCATGACCAGCTTTTTGAGGCTTGAGTCGGGCCTAGCAATCTCTTTCAAGTTTTGAGCAACTTTGTCACCTAACAATCATCTTCAAATCTCTTCTCTTCCCCTTTTTCTTTTCTCATTTTCTATTCCCTATCCCTTCCTCTTATGAAAATAACCATACTCTAACTCAAAATTAAAGATGAAAATTGGCCCAATTGTCATGGAGTCTACACTATCCTCTCACCTGGACCACAAACAAACAAAAGCCATGCTTTTTTTAGGCCCAATTATATATATCAGGGATTCAGAAATATATTCCTTCGCTGGGCCTCATTCAATTGTAAATTTAATCTAAATATTAACACTCTTTCTTCTTATATCTTCGTATCTTCTCTTTATATCCCTATATTTTTTTAAAAAGAAAATAATAATATTATTAATTTTATAAAATTAGTGTTCTAGAAGCATATTCTGAATCATTTCCGATTGAAAAATCCAAAAAAATTCAGATGAATGATTTTTTTTTAATTCTAGATTATGAAATTTTTACAACATAATTTTATTATACGTTTTTTTAAATTCCAAAAATTATTATTTATTCATATGATTTAAGTTCTGGATTGTGAAACCTAAATTCATCATTCTAGATTAATCCAAAATGTTTTCAAAAACTTGATTTTTGAAACCTGAAAAACTCCGGAAAGATTAATCCGAACTATTTTCAGAAAGTTGATTTCGAAAAGGTTAATTCAAAATGCTAAATCTGAAAAATTGATTTTAGAAAGTTTTCAAAAAATAATCTAAGTTTTATTTTATCGTAAGGACAATATTCTTTTTTTAATATATATATATATATGTAGAAAATAAAAAGTCAATATTAACAAACCAAGAAATTAAACCAACACATTCAATAACTCATGCTCTGATATATTCTTTTACATATCATTATTTTAGAAGTTATACTGATATATTGTAAAAATGACAATGTACAGTCGTTTAATTAATAATCAAGTTATCTTAAAAAATTATGAAAACTAAAACCAATAAAAAGAGTTTTTAAAAGATGATCACTGAGTTTTGTAGAATGATTATCGATCCTCTGGACTTGGATAATGGATCTGTCATCTCAGAAACCCACCGTATTCTTTGACTGTATGTCTGTCTACATATACTGGTTTCCAAGGGTTTTCGCCTGGACATTGCAATTGAGCAATGTTGGTCTGGATTTGACGCTTCAGTGTTGTGAAAGATGATTGCTTATATTGACAAAAAAACCATTCCGGTGTATCCCATTTGAAAAGCCTAGCCAATGATTCATGGAATAGAAGTGCCACTTCCACAAAACATGCCCACTCCCTCATGATGTGCCACCCAATTCCACACGTTGCCTATCAATTCACATTAAAATAATGTTTTACAAGTTCCTGTCACTCACCTTCATGAAAAAGACTATATTATATTCCCCTTACCACCATCGATGTGGGTGGGTAAATCAACATTTTATAGTTTCAACATTATATCTTAAGAACAAAATGGTTCCATCTAATATCAGGACATACTTGTTACACTTTCTACACATTTTAAGGACTATATCAAAAATTGTGTTCTTTCAAAATAGACATTTATCTATGTTTGGTTTGCGTTTTTTCTTTTTGTCTGTCAAATTCACAAACCACATTGCAGCAAAATAATGGCTTTTGAATTCAGCAAAAGAAGTATTTTTGCCAATTTCTAAGAAAAGTGTATACATACTGCACATATGTATAGGAGAAAAATTGGAAAGTAAAACTTCAACCTTTATTATAGTAAAAAAAAAGCTTTGACTTTGCACTAGGCAATTCTCGTACAAAGTATTGGTGTCTTTTTTCCTGAAGAGAGAACAATGGATGCCAATCATGCCATACATTTTACATGGCTATTCTCTGTATGTATCATGGCATCACAAAGGAAAGCAAGAGTCCAATGTGCCCAAACTTGTCTATACAATATGAACATTATATACAGCCTCTAGCAAATGGCTTAAACATGTTTTTGGTCCTGAAAATACAACCTTTTTCTTTCAAATTTAATGTCTTTTTTTTTTTTTTTTTAAATCATGTGCTTTTTATACTCACTGCAACTTGTAAGGGCGTATTGCTCGTATTAAATGAAAATAATGTAGGGACTAAAAATAATTAAAATTTAAATGGAGATTAAAATAGAAAAAAGTCATATTTTAGGGACCAAATATATTTAAGCCAAAACTCTGTTAACTCCTCTGTGCAGGAGACTCTCCCAAATTGCTTTCTGTTTGTTCAGAAGCAGTTTGAGCTTGATGATCAACTGTAGCTGATTGATCAGGTGGCACTGCCTCTAGGGATCCTTGCTGTTGATTTGACTGAGCAAGTGATCTCCCCCTCCACTTTAGAATCTCCATAAGAATAGAAGCTCCACACATCACAACTCCAAACCCAGTAAATGTAGCTAACAGGATAGCTAGAACAGCTTGCATATGAACCTGACATCTCAAATGTATAAAGATCAATGATATTAGAAATACTTTGAATATGCAAATTTTGACTAGTGCTCTATCATTACAATTGAAGGCTAACATGTTGAAATCCTCAACCATGTAAGGCTATCATTAGCTCACTGATCATGGCTCTACAAGCCTTTTAACAAATTTTGCTCACTACAATTCATTTTTATAACCTGATTTTTATTTTAATGTTAGCAAATAGGCCTTTGCGAACTTCCAGGTGTAAGAGGATTGAGAAATGGGGATAAATAGAGTACTTAGCTCAGTTAGCCGCACTTCATGTTATGACTTGAGTACATGAAAAGGACTTGTGACTTAACTGTATTCTACATTACATACTATTCAAAGTTTAGTGCATAGGTACCTCTTTTTTCAATTTAATTCTTAATGAAAGACTGGTTGTGATTATGATTTGATGAAAACTCAACTGAAAGACTAGTCTATTTGGTGAGACAACCTTAGGGCTTAAGAACTATATCGAGCCATTTTATTCTACTCAAAATAGGACTATTAAAACGTGGTCTGAGTAGTCAGTTTCTTATTTCCCAAAATTAACAAAAAACACAAAAATATCCAGTAAGTATGGTTACAAAAAGAATTTCTTACCAATGAAAAGAAAAGATGTCCAGAAAGAACCACCAGAAAAAACTGAACAGTTGCATAAATCCAAACATGATTTCTCCTCACTATGAAAATTTTGGAGGAATTAGTTCTATATTATACAATAACAAAGGAGGAGTTCAAGTACACAGAGTTGTCTAAACATAGAAAAAGCTTTACCCATTGTTGTAGCTGTCATGCTTGCAAGAAGACCCAATATACAAGAAAATGGGAGAGACATGGCAATGGCACCAGATCCCATATTAGACACCTGTCCACCAATAACATCAGGAATTCATATTGGCTAAAGGGAATATATTATGCGACAGTAGTTAAACTTACAAGAAGCTGCTCAAGAAAACAAAAGTAAGCCAGCATGTTGATCACAACAAGAATGGGAGCGTCCTGCCAAACCCTATAAAAATTTGCGTAAGTTCTGTTGTACCATGTTGGAAAACAATACTGGATGATATTCAAGTCAGAGAAAGGGCTAAAAAAATAATTTAGGCTTCCTTTGAATCTCAAAAGAATTATGATATCACTAAAATTGATATCAGGTTTTACGCTACACATGCATGTGAAGGCAAGCTAGAAAGCTTTTCTTTGATCAAATTTATGTATAGTCTATCAGTCTAACTAATAATCACTTTTCTTTATCATAGTCTACCATTGAAGCCTGTCAATGAAACAAGGCATACAATGCTGAGGCATAGAATTATATCAGATGATCTAATTCTAAATTGTTCTAGCTCCCCTTAAAACAAAAACTATTCAAACACAGGATTCTAGTTTGGCCTTACCGGTAATGAGAAGCATCAGCCCCCAGTATGTTATGACCCTGACCATTTTGAACTCGTAAAAGAGTGACAGGAAGATTCTGAACATCTTGCTTGCACACATCACATGTTCTATTACCTTTAATGGTAAACCATTTGACTGCACATTCTTTGTGTGCCAATGAAAGCTCACCTTTGCAGCTACACTCCAATTTAAAAGTATCAGCACCTTCTCCAAGTTCAACCATACAAATTCTACAAACAGCTTCTTCTTCAGGAATATCTTCACCGTCATCCTCATTTTTAACTGAAACAAAATACTCTGATAAATAAAATTGTCACTGAAAGAACTTGATCTAGAGGTCCTAGCCAATAATGAATATCTTTGGATTTGGAAATTAGCAACATTGTCAGAGCCACCAGTTAAAACCCAGAAAATAAGCTTGTGCAGCCAAAGAGAATATATTGCAACTCAGATATTGAGATAGAACACAATATATATGACTTTTAGTCCTTTATACAGACGAAGGATGATAAGTGGAAAGGTTAAGACAGCTGAAGCATGTAAGAGGAAGGTAAGACAGCTGAAGCATGAGATTGAGTAGGATGAAAAAGGAAACAAACATGTAACAGTTCCTAACAGTTGAGACAGTAAAATAACTTCAGTTATAAATCTATTTCGTAGAATATCCAAACACACAAAAATAATTATCAATGTCATATATAAAAATAAAATATATTGTGTATTTTAATCAATGACTCAAGCATACTAAATCATAAAAGAGCAATGCTAGCAATACAGTCTATTTGTGAGTCTCACTGAAGACATAGGCCTGCTCCCTTTCTGGTGAGATCCACGTGAAATTCACCCAATAATATGGTAGTTTGAAAATAATGTGTTGTTAGCCTTTCTCAACCTTGAATTACGTGGAGCTGAGCATTACACCCATTTGCAGTTATCAGGTGATAGTCATAATGAATATAACCAACAAAAATCTCTCCATCTCCTTCTAGCACGTAGTTTAGCTTAATCAAGATAAGTAAGACATTGTTGACGATTCTAAGGTTAACCTATCATTAACAATTTCGAAAGGAAATATTACCAGTGTCATGAATTGGAGACGTCATAGGTGTTGTGGTAATTTTATCATCCAAACGTGGTGTGGTTAGAACTATACGAAACATGCCACGTGCGGGTGAGTTACCTTCTTTGTTAAGCACAGGTACTGAACGGGATCGATGAATTGGTAATTGCGGTTCATTCTCCTGTAAAATGAGGTAAAAATCAGATATAATCATGTAAGCCAGGACCAAATTATCTTAGAGGTAACAAATGTCTAATGATGATTTGGAACATAACGTGAAATTTTATTTTATAGCTTTAACATATCAAACTGAGTGTTGCAGACTTCAGAGTAACTTTAAGAAAGGGATATGTAGTACTGATGAATCAGCAATTGAAAAGATGCATCTTTTGAAGAAAGCCACATGGTCAATTGGATTATATGATTTATGATAATTTGATCTATGTGATACCGATACTAACATTGAAAATTTTGATGCTATGCTTACTCAATCATGATTTCTTCATTAGATTAATATAGGAAGCAAAACAAATCAGTTGAGTCAACTCTACCACAGGCAAAATGAAACTATCATTCAAAATGTTAATTAAAAGAGAAGTACGCGTTGCTGCTTATTGCCGTGTGTGTGAAATCACTGAAGTGTAGAAATAGATTTTAATGGATACTAAATCTTCTATGATGATGCAAGATATAACTGACAGACTCAAACTAAGGGTCAGTTGCATAAAATCAGAAATAACTTGTTAGAAAAAAATTTAAAATGATAATTTAAAGAAAAACCATTGCTGAAAGAACAATCTTTACAATGATGTTACACTTACATCCGTTGGCATTTTCAAGTTTAGTCCATCCAACAACCAAGAAAAAAAAAATGACAGTTTTAGAGAACACCATACATACAAACATGTCAGAAAACCTGGTTTGGTGAATACAAAGCATCACTAGAAATATTCCAAGAACTTTCTTTTTTTACAATTATTTTTAGCCATTTCCAGTTTCAATATATGCTGACTAACTAAATATAAAAATTACAATGCAACATGTTGCTTTAATTGTCAAGCTACTCACTACTGTTTCTGCATAAACCATGTTCCCGCCATGTACAGACCCAGGATTTGAATGAGCAATTGGGGTTACAGGTAAGGATGATGTTTTCTTCCCTCTAGGTGTGACAAGAGATAATGTCCTTGAAAGAAAAGGCTTTTTTGGCGCCACTGTTGCTGATCCTTCAAGTGCTAGGAAAGCAGCCTTTTCAATCTCCAAACTTGTGTTGCGGAATTTAAAACTGAGTTTGGGAAGAAAGGTTTTAATATTTGATCTATTTTTTGATGTGGAGGGACCAGGGGATTCTTTGCTTCTCGGGAAAACAGGACTTGGACAAGGGGAAAAAATCACTTTTCTTGGAGGTGGAGTTAGAGGCATGTTTATCCTCACATAATCTTCCTTTGGATCCTCGTGAGATATTGGAGGTATATCCACGATAAGGTTTTGCCTTGTCCCATGTCGATCTCCTGGGAGTTCCTCAGTTATTTCAGATGATGCTGGACCCTATGTATAAAGAAGCAGAAGAAAACTTTCTTAAGATTAGAAAAGGAAAAGATTTACTCATTGATCTGCAAGGTAATAATAAACCTTAGTAATACACAAATATATCAGAAACATATAGTTTTAGTCGGAAGATACTTTAGCTAAAAGCTGGCTTTCAATTTATATAATTTTCAATGAATATCACATTGTTGAAAGTTTTCCCCTTCTTAGAAGGAAGTTCTTGTGCATATGGTGCGTTAGTCAGCATAGGAGAGACAGAGTAGAATGGAATCAAAGTAAACTGAATTTCTGATAACCTTAATATTTGTGTAACTTCGCAAGAGGGCTATGTAAGTGGTAACCATACAACTTTCGTCAAATAATTGGCATTCATGAAAAATCTAGCAGCTTTTACAAATCTAAAAATATGAACAAATCACAGTAGTCACAAGCACTATACTATTTGAAAATATTTAGAAGGTATTGGGTACGGTCTGCTGATGAGCAATGGAAGCTTTGACTCGTGAAAAATAGTATACTTCGTTGCAAATCACCAATTTTTCTAAACTTGTTTCCAGAACAAATGAAATTCCACAAAACATTAATTCGAAGAGAAACGTATCATGGAAAGATAATTCGAGGATCATACAACTTTTAGAGTCAAATATCTTCCCCCAATTTCTAAGAAATAACTCATTTTTGAGGTGGAAAATGCAGGTTACTCAATTGAGAGCTTGAAACATCTGAGCATGATAAAAAAAATTATGAAGGGCAACATAGCTTGAAGTATCTTGTCAGCTATATTCAAAATTCAAATTCGAAGCTTATTTAAACCTCTAAAATCTAAATGTCTGCTTGGGAAATTTTCAAAACTAAATCCCCAACCTTCACTAGAACCCAAATTCCCCTCTCTTTTATAAATTCATATTTCAGCTTTACATGTACAGCACATAGTTGGCTTACTGCAAAAACTAAAGATGAAAAGACTGCAAAACCAATTAGCCATACATGAACAACCTTTACCTATGATCAATGGTAGATAAACAAAAGGAAAGAAAATAAATTAAGGCAGAAACAGAACACCCACAACCACAACCTTCAATTAAAGTCAAGCAAACAACCATAAAAAGTTAGTACAGAACAAGAAAAGAATAGAGACAAGACAGACAACAAGTGAAGGAAGGACCTTTTGGATTGGGATATCGGTTCTATTTCCAGTGGTGCCATGGCCTTGGTTATTGTTGACGTTGGAAGAGTCTGCAGCTTCAGTTGCCATGTTCAGTGGGGAACCCACCAAACCAAAGAGAAAAAACAAGACAGGTTTGGGCTGAACGATGGAAATTCAAACAAATTTTGGTTTCGCAAGAAAAATAGATGAAACCTTCCCTGGATCATGGAAGATGAAAATTGTCTGAAGAAAAGCTCAGAGAGAATATAGTAAAGAGTGGAGAAGAGAAGCACCATGGAGACAGGTTGTGGTGTAAGCTTGAAGCAGACATGTTTCATATTTTCCCAATTTAATACAAAATACATGTCATACATTTTATAATACAAAAAAAAAAAAAAAACTCATTTACTCTCTTCCATCTCATTTTTATTTTATGCTTTTAATTTATTCATTTTTTTATTTTTATCTTTTTCCTTTTTTATATCCAATATATTATGCACATTAATCATTAGTCATTATCATAATATATGGTTGGCCGGCTAAAATGTTATTATTATTGTTTTTATTATTATTTTCGTTGTTTGGAGTTCGAAGTCAAATAGGAAATAATGTTTTGTTGTTGGAGCAAATGGGAAATAGATTAATAGGTAGAGAGTTATTTATATTATGTAATTAATTACCATTAAATATATACATTAAAATTAACAAACAAACCTACCTCAACATTTTTTTAATGTATTGGTCACTGTCTTTTCAATTTTTAATTTTGATCTCAATATTATATCCAGCTACGCTCCAACGACGCTCCAACTTCCCAACCTTGTTTTTAAAGAAGAGACGAATGTAGATTTGTATATATATTCAGAATTTTTTCTTTTTTTATTCTCTTTTCCAAGATATTTTATTATGACTAATTTATATCCATGTTCAGAGAATTGATACTGATATTTTTTAACCATAAATATGAAATTTTTAAATAGTTTGTATGAGGTGAATTCAGTTTTCAAAAGTGTATTTATATATACTTTAACCGTTACAAGAAGCCAAATTCTGGTAATAATTAATATGAAAGAGAGTTTTAAAATAATATATTGGACATTGTGGGTTTATAACTAATGCATGTGAAGTGCAAAATGGAAATGGAAAGTCAATGTGTTGATTGTGGTGTTTTATTATCTGTGGTCGAAGATCAAATCACCCTAGTGGAGACGTTTTAATCAGTGCAAGTAGACTAACCGCAATATCATCGTGACAAGAACAATATCATTTTTCCTCGGTCATTATAAAGGAATTTCTTATCTCCGTCCCAAATTATCATTCATAATCATATAATTAGTTAAAAGATTCACTCACAAAATTATCATCTTCAAATCTTGTATGCAACAAAACTTTAATGCACGAGGAGAGTAACAAAACGTGTTAGCTACTTTTTTTGTTTCGGGTGATTTCTTAATTTAATTTATCTTTTACCTTTCTAAATTTTTAACTTATGTTATTTATAAAATAGATTTCCCAAGATAATTATGTTCGACATAAAATACTAATTTTACAAACTAAGTTAATATCTAATGCTGGAAATAATTTCCTTTCTATGTGGAGGATAAGACCAGGTTCTAATTATTTCGCATATTTAGAGGTTATTTATGATATGGAAGATCAAATTTTACTATAATAAAAAAGTTCACTATAGATTTTTCTCTGCAATATATATATATATATATATATATATATATATATATATATATTCTAATATGAAATTTAAATTATCAAAATTAATATTTAATTATAATAGTTATTTTTTAAAATTAATACTTTTACAAAAAGTTATAATAATGATAATTTTTCCAATACCTATTAATGAACTTGAACATATCTATCGTTGAGAATTTTGTTAACTCAAACCTTATTAAATGTAAAACAAAAATGAAATTCATTAACATAAGAAAAAAATGAGAATTATTCAAATAAGAATGAGATATAAAGAGTAATTTAATCCTATTTATATCTCTTCTAACGAATAATAAATTATAAATATTTTAATGTTAATAATTAAATTAATAAGAAAAATATTTTCATTAAACATATGAAATTCACACTGAGAGAATTAGTATTAATTTAAATAAGATAATTATTAACCAAAAAATAATTATTATTTATATAAAGTAACTTTTTTATTTAATTATCATTTGAGAATATATATATATATATATATATATATATATATATAGATAAAAAAATATTTTATTTTATGATAATCTTTATTTTAAAAAAAATATGACATCTCTACTAAATTTTAATTAATTACATTAATTATTTTGTTTATTGTTAAGTGAATAATATAACATGTTTTTACATTCATAATTACTCACTTAATGATGCATAAGTGGAAATTTACCTTACAAAAATATATTTATTTGATTAAATCTATGACAAGGTATAATTTCTAGAACCTGATTGTGTTTTTTTGAAAAAAATGTATTAAATTTGGACCTTTTTGGTGATGCAGGCCCACAACTTAAAATTTCAATATCCGTTCAGCGGAATACCAGGCGCTCAGCAGATATGAGGCTGTAAACAGAATTTTTATTCTCATTCCGCTCAGCGGAATTTCTTGCGCCCAGCGGAATTGTAGCCGCAACAAAAGGGGAATTTCAAGCTTCAATGTGTCCGGCGAATTATGATCCGCCTAGCGGATTAGGTTCCTTCAAGCTGAAGTATTTACATATCCGCTTAGCAGATTAATTGGAGCTGAGCGGATGATAAACCCCTGTTTTAATATAATGGATTTTTAGTGAGAGAAAGGGGTATCGAAGAAAAGAAAACAAAAAGAAAGAAAGAGAGAGAGATGGAGAGGAGATCGACCGGAGCTTCAGGAACACAGATTCAAAGCAAAATAGAAGGCTGGATAACTTGGGAACAAGGATCTACCTTCACTATTGCTTATGTTCTGTAATTTTCTTCTTTCTCCCTTCTCTGTACTTTCTCCCATGAGGAACTGAATTCTATGGATTGAATATGATGTAAATTCTATTTTGCAATTCTCTAAATGTAATCAATTTCTGTTTACCCAGTTGCGTTTGATTCTGTGCGTATTACTTAATTTGGTTTGATTAACTAGATTAAGATTTAAGTTTTTGAGGTATTCGGAAGAAAATCTGAAATTCTAGAACTGTTCAAACACCAAGTAAAATCAAATTGTAGGAATAGATTTGATCTTACTTGTCCCTGATCTTCAGAGTGAAAATTTAATGCTGGATGTTGATTTTGATTCATTGAGGAATCATGTTGAAAAGTCAACATTTTATATCTTAGTATTGAGGAATCATACTGAGTGAATTAAGGAGAATGAAATTGGACTAACAGAATCATGATGATTAAGAAAAGGGTAGAATACAAAATGCATCATATTTAATCACTCATTATAGTTAATTTTCTTTCACTGTTCTAATTTTATGTTTATATGTGTGGTTACAGGAGATTTCAAAATCTGTAAATGGTTAAGTATAAAAATTCATTTAAATTAGAATCATTAATTCACAAATCCCTGTGGACGACTTTATAAATACTACATCGAAACTTGGTACACTGCCAAGTAAAATTGTGAGTAAGAAATAGTTCACCAAGTTTCTGGCGCCGCTGCCGGGGATTTGACGTAATTAGTGATTGTGATTTAGTGGATTGTGAATATAATTGTGAATTAATATATTGTAATGTGTAATATATTGTTTAGTCTCTTGAACTAATCCATCTGTGTAGGATTAATCTTGTTTATGCGAGGAAAGTTTCCAGCTGAAAAATTGTTGTTTGATCCTGAAATTGAGAGGACTGCAAGAAGAAATAATAGCAGGAGAAGGAGAGAGCAACAATTAGTTAGACAAGAACAACAAAAGGAAACACCCACTCCTCATTTGGATCAATTATCTCCAACAAAAATGGCTGAAGAACAAAGAAACAATGAACATCAAAATGCTGGGAATCGTTGTAGGCTTTTGGGAGAATATGCACAACAGCTGGGACCCAGAAATTTCTCCAGTATTGTGAGACCTAATAAGGGAGTTGAAATGAAACCTGCACTATTATCTTTAATTACTTCTAATCAATTTGCAGGTTTAGATCATGAAGACTCTTACAACCATCTCTCCACATTTTATGAACTATGTGGTACTATGGGAGTTCCTAGAGAGGATGAGGAAGTCGTTTATCTCCGACTGTTTCCTTTTTCTTTGACAGGGAAGGCAAGGACATGGCTGCAATCACATCCGAATCAAAGCCTAATCAAATGGGAGGATGTAGAAAGAAAATTTTTGACCAGATTTTTCCCTTCCTCTAAATATGTTAGTGCAAAAACAGCCATTGCCACATTTGCACAGGGATCTGATGAACCATTATGTGAAGCATGGGAGAGATATAAGTCTTTGCTTAGGAAATGCCCCAACCATGGCTTTGATGATATAGCCCAGTTGAACATGTTCTGTAATAAATTTAGACCTCAGACTAAGATGTTGTTAGATGCATCTGCTGGAGGTTCTATGATGATGAAGGATTCAGATGAAGCCATTACTATCATAGATGCTTTGGCAGCCAGTGATTTTCAAGCTCATCATGATAGGAGTCATCCACCAACAAAGAGAGGAATATTGGAGCTGGACACTCAAAATGCCATCCTAGCTCAGAACAAACTTCTTTCTCAACAGCTAGAGGACTTGAAGAAACAAATGACTAAAATAAATGTGGGATCATCATCTAGGCATCAACCACAACAACAAGCAATGAAGTGTGATTTTTGTGCAGGAGATCATTTGAATGGCTACTGTGTGGAAGCTGAAGGAGAAAAGGAGGAAGAAGTTAATTATTTGAACAATCCAGGGAGGCAGTCTAATTATCAACCCAATTATAATCAAAATCAAGGGTGGAGGAATAATCAGAACCAACCTAGAGGATGGAAACAGGATACAGGACCATCTCAGAGACAGCAGCAGTATCATCCTAGACCATATCAGAGAGAAGAATCGTATCACCCTGATAGGCTTACAAAAATGGAGGATGCTTTGACTCAATTTATTCAGGTGTCCACCACCAATCAGAAGAATACAGAAGCTTCTATTAGG